CCCCCCCACCCCCGCCAGTGCCCAGCCTTGAGGACAGGGACCATCCTGGGTGGATAAGTGACGACCCTCCTCCGCCTGTCTCCAGATGGGCAGAAGGCTGTGGTTCACACGGAGAAGGGAGGGGGAAGGGCAGGTCCCGGCCACCCCGGCACACGCCTGTGCCCCCCCCAAAGATACTCACTGGTCGAAGCAGTGGGCTGCAGTCAGCACCCAGGCCTCGGTGATCAGGGAGCCCCCGCACACGTGCTGTCCGTGCTCCCTCAGGCTGACCTGCCACGGCCACTGGCCCGGCTGGGCATTCTGCCCCGACACGATGCGGCCTGACACGTGTGGGCGTCCGCACACTGCGGGGTGAGTCCACGGGCCACTTATGCGTGGTCCCCTCTGGGCTCCCCTGGCCCTGCAGACCCGCCCTCATGTATCCCTGCTGCTCGGGGGTTGGCACCCGGTCCCTTCTCCTCAGGCCCCACGAGGTGCAATTCTTTGTGACGTAGGACCCCGTGCTCCAGGGGATGACTCGGGGCGGTGCCCCGCAGCTGAGCTGGGGGAAGCGGGAGCTGGAGCCCTAAATGGCTTAGCCACGCTCGGCTCCTCCTGGGACAGCCCGAACGCGGCTCGGTGCGGGTGGACGCTGAGGTCTGGGGTGGCTGAATGAGGGTCCCCGCCCCCTCCCCGAGTCTGGGCTCCTTGGAGGACCTGCCCCGCACAGGCTATAAGGCGCAGGGCGGGGATCACACATCGGCTGCACCTGCCCCTCCTCTCGGCACCCCGATATTCGTCCTACCTGAATCCAGGCCTGTCGCGCTGGCGTTCACCAGGGAGAAGTTGGGTGGGAGAGCATGGGGGCTCCCCTGCAGAGCCACGGAGAGGAGGGAGAGCAGGCTGGCGGCGAGGGCCGGCGACATGGTATGTCCCAGCCACCACTTCCGCGGCTGGCTCTTGGGGTCAGAGTCCTCAGACACTCGGGGGGGGGGGGGGGGGGGGAGTAGATGGCCGCAGCCAGAACCTGGGCTTGTCCTGGGGTGTGGCTGACTCCTCCGCGCCTTGCCCTTGGGGCTCGGCTCCGCACTGCTCCTGGGCACAGGGTCCTTGGCCTCCGCTCCCCCACCCTGGCCTCACTGGCCTCGCGGCACCAACCACGCCACCACTTACGGGGCACTTCCTGGGTGCGGGCCTGTATCACCCGTGTCATATTCCTCCCAACTCATTCGCCAGGCGCTATTATGATCCCCCTATGCGGCAGAGGAAGCGGGACTCCCGTGGTGTAATGACTCACCGGAGGCCGTACAGGTGACAAAACCACATACCTCTGTGCTCTGTGCTGGGGCGTCTCGTAAGTACCCTGAGAAGGGGAGGCGGGGGAGAGGAACCGCAGACCCGAGGTCACACCCCAGTCTGCCCCCTCGGGCTTCGTGTGCACCCCGGGACTCTGAAGGGCCCGAGGTGGGGCCAAGATGCCTGCAGAGTGAGAGGGGCCTGTGATCCACGGGGGTAGAGCAGCGAGGAGACGCCCCTGGTATCTCTCCCTGACCGCAAACAGCAAGCGCCTGGATGGCCGCCGCGCTCCCCTCGCCTCACCTCTGTAAAGCCCCGTGGGTGGCCGTGGCCGAGAAAGCAGAGCTGACCAGCCTAGGGCGCCGGGCAGGGAGGGATGCAGGACACTTTCCCTGGTGGCTAAGTTTTCTCCTTCTCTCCACAAGCAGCCGTCCTTTCTGAGGCCCCCGCGCCACCTGGCCTACGCGCACCTCCCTCTCCAGAGGGCTCATTCCCCCTGGGGGGCCATGGTGGGGCTCTGAGCAGCCCCAAATACCTGATTTAGGTCAAAATCATGTTCAGTGAACGCTTTGGCGTTACTGCCTTGCCCACCTACCTGATCTCTTGATTTCTGAGGGGAGAAATGTGAATTTCCTAGTATCTGGAGTATTAAGAACTTAAAAAAAATTTTTTTTTTTTTTTTTTGCTTGATGTATTTCAAAGCTCTGTTATTGGGGACATAAGGACTCGTGACTCATGTCTTTTCAGTGGCTTGTGACGTGTCCATGTAAAAATTTCTGTATTTCATTCCTTTTCCCCCCAAAGTTTATTTATGGGTTTATCAAGCCCATGAACAGTGAGTGAGATCATGACCTGAGCGGAAACCAAGAGTTGGACGTTTAACCAGCTGAGCCGCCCGGGTGCCCCCCCCCCCGCCACCCCGTATTTCATTCTTAAGTCTTGGGTCCATTTTCATCTCGTGGGCAATTTTGTCACCAATTTTGTCACAATAAATATATATGTATATTTATATTAAAAAATTGGAATTTACGTGCTAGAATGCTCGTACAATAGGAAAGCACTTCTGTTAACAGTATTATCGATTTTTGTGCTTGCAAAAGAAGCTTAATATGACTCCCTGATGCCTTACGAGGATCAAGGCACATCCTGCCTGCTTGAGATTTTTTTTTTCTCTAGTTTCGTCCCAGAAATTCCGTTTGAGAACCCCTAGATTATCAGAATTCTGTAAGAGCCAGAGTAAAGCTGATTTAAGGACGTCACAAGGGGACTTATCATCATCACAATGAGTGTTGCTTAAAACCCACACCCACTCAATAACCCTTTTTGTGTTCACAGGTCACTGGTCAACTGCTGAGTGTGAGACTGAGGAGGTAAAACACACACAGCCTTGTGCTGGGGTTGGAATGTTTGTGTCCCCTCCGCCCCCCCCCCCCAAGTTCATATATCGGAATCCGTATGTTGAAGCCCCAGGTGATGTGTTTAGAGGTGGGACCTTTGCAAAGCAATTAGGACCGAAGGGTGGAGCCCTCATGAGTGGGATCAGTGCCCTTATAAGGCCACGTGAGGACACAGGGCAATGGCAGCAGCTGTGAACCAGGAAGGGGCCCTTCCCAGACACCTTGACCTCAAACTTCCAGCCCAGGAACTGTGAGAAATAAATATTTGTTGTTTATGAGCCACCCACCCACTTTATGGTATTTTGTCAGCCAGCAAAGCATTTGACTCAGAAATGATGTCACATCCCTCCTCTTCTACGTCGGCTCGTCCCATTCCTCGTGTCTGCCGAGCTCGTGGTGGGAACTCGGTCTCCCCGTGGACTTACATAAGCTAGGCCAGTTCACAGTCCCGGACAGATGCCTGGGACATCTGGTGCCAATATCAGGACACCAGTCTGCTGCCGGGGAGTCTAGAACTTGGCTTTCTCTTTGTCGTTTCTCAACCCTTGATTTTATTTTACTTAACACACTTCTTGGTTTGTATTCATTTTTTTAGGTTTTATTTATTTTTGAGAGAGACAGAGAGCGCGCGAGCAGGGGAGGGGCAGAGAGAGAAGGAGACACGGAATCCGAAGCAGGCTCCAGGCTCCGAGCGGTCAGCACAGAGCCCGACGCGGGGCTCGAACCCACAAACCGTGAGCTGAAGTCAGACGCTCAACCGACTGAGCCACCCAGGCGCCCCTCTTCCTGCCTAACTCTTGTTTAGTGTTTGTGAACACTCTCGCCAGAGCTTTCGAAGCCCACCAGTCGGCGTCCTCCAAGCTGTCCACTGCTCCGTGTATTTATTCCCTCCGTTTTCCTCGAAGCCGGTCCCTGTATTCAAACAGATCGTTCTGGTGCGTGTGTGTGGATTTTCCTCCAATGTTGCTTTATCCTTGGTGGCCGTGCAGTGACAACAGGTTAAGTGAACAGGCCTAGGATGAACCGACCCTCGACCAGGTCCTAGGAAATCACCTCTGAGTCTTTGCAAAGTCTTGCTTGGAAAGAGCGTCTTTGTAGACCGGGAGCCTTGGGCCACTCCAGATACTTGATGCTAATAGCACAGTTGATGGGACCGCCTCGGGCCACACTGCGTCACTTGGACCACAGGAGGTGCCCTAGTCTGAGGACTAGGGTTAGCCACGTGGGCTGTCCACCCTGCCTCTGTCACGGAACCCCAAGGATAAAAACTCCAGACACCCAGGCTCACATGAGCTTCCCCGGCCGGCACCCCTTCACGTCCGTTGTCACGCGTCATTGCTGGGAGGATTAAGCTCTGCCCATCTGACTCCATTGCTAAGGGGAAGCTGGAAGCTTCCACCTGGTCTCTCCTAGACTCTGTCCTCCACGCCTTGTACCACTGCAGTGAACCATCACCACGGAGATGACCGCTTCTCTAGGTCCTGTGAGTCCTTGTAGTGGATCAGTACTCTGAGGGCGGTCCTGGGGGCCCCAGTTCAGTTGTTCACTCACATCTATAACTCAAGAGACAACTTGATGACTTTGGTGCCCTGCACCAGTGCCCAAGGACGAGGCAGACCGTCTGTAGGCTCTGTGGGGCTGAGTGGGGCCAGCCGGGAGCAGCAGGGAGGCTGGGAGGCCTCCAGGTGGCCCACATCAGGCCATTTCACTCGGGCTCCTGGAAAGGACCGTGGCTTTTAGCAGCAGCCCAATACCGCCAGGCCCCCAGCGGGCGCTCGGTGAGGACTTGCTCTCACGGGGGTCCTGGTGGGGACCGGCCTTGGCCCTTCCCCGAAGAAGCGCTGGGTGGAGGAAGGGGGGCAATGAGCCTGGCAGCCGGGATCCCAGGGCTGCAGACAAGAACCGTTTGGGGGCACGGTGTGGTTGGGGTACCCAGCTCGAAGCCCTCGGACCCGGACCGGTCCCGCTGGGGGCGGGGGGGGGGGGGGGGGGCAGCGTCGCGGGCGTTCCCTGCCCCCCCCCCCCTCGGGGTTAGGCGCCCCGAGCGGGCGGAAGCAGAGGGGGCGCCGCGAGGCGGCAGAGGCGGCCATGGGCGCGCGCGTCCGGGCGCTGCTGCTGGCGCAGCTGTTGGTGCGAGCGGGGCTCCGGGGACAGGGTGAGCTGAGGCGGGGGCTGCGGGCCGCCCCAGGGGTGGTGGGGGACGGCCGGGGCGCGTGCAGACCGCGGGGAGCTCACCTGGCCGCCCGCCATCC